CTTAATCCTCAGATCTAGCCTCTTGAGTAGGATTGTAGGTATGAGCCACTGGCTCCTGGCTTCTGATTTCTAATTTTAGCCTATCTGATGTATCTGTTTCTTTTCCTTCCCTCACCTGTATTTCCACTTTTTCTGACTCTTCCTTGATTTTTTTTGGGGGAGGATTTTGGGGGGGGTCCAGTCGTGGGGCCTGAACTCTGGGCCTGGGCCGCTGTCCCTCAGCTCTTCAGCTCAAGGCTAGCGCTCTACCACTTGAGCCACAGCGCCATTTCCGGCTTTTTTCTTTTTGCTTATGTGGTGCTGAGGAATGGAACCCAGGGCATCAGGCATGCAAGGCAAGCGCTCTACCACTGAGCCAACTTCCCAGCCCCTGACTCTCCCTTGATTCAGTGATTTCTCTGTGTTTTAGGCTTGGTCACGGTGGCAAAAAGAACTCCAGCACAGTCAGCAGGAGAGATTAAAGGTGGTTTTTGCAATGCAACACCATGAGCACCGGCAAAAGCAGAGATCCCTGAAGGCATGGCTTAAATACCTGCATGTCCGCAGGAAGAAGAGGCAACAGAATGGTGAGCAGGACTCTGAACTCTCAAACAGGGGCCTGGTTGGAATATCTCTCTCCTTTCCTGGTGCCAGTGATACTTTATGAAGAAGAAATATTACCATGTCATGCCATAAGTTTTGGTGAAAAGATTTTGGGAGAAAAAGAATACATCATTCTTTAAAAAAAATTTTTTTTTGCCTGTTATAAAAATGATATACATGGGGCTGGGAAGGTGGCTCAGTGGTAGAGTGCTTGCCTTGCATGCATGAGGCCCTGGGTTTAATTCCACAGCACCACATAAGCAGAAAAAGCCAGAAGTGGCGCTGTGGCTTATGTGGTAGAGCGCTAGCCTTGAGCTGAAGAGCTGAGGGACAGCGCCCAGGCCCAGAGTTCAGGCCCCACAACTGACATAAATAAATAAATAAATACCCAAGATGATATACAGCTGGGTACCAGTGGCTCATGCCTGTAATCCTAGCTACTCAGGAGGCGGAGACTGAGGATTGTGGTTCAAAGCCAGCCTGGGCAGGAAAGTCTGTGAGACTCTTCAATAAGCCACCAGAAAAACTGGAAGTGGTGCTATGGCTCAAGTGGTAGAGTGAGTACTAGCCTTGAGCTGAAGAGCTGAGGGACAGCGCTCAGGCCCAGAGTTCAAGCCCCACAATCGACAAAAAAAAAAAAAAAAAGATGATGTTACAGTTACATAAAAAAAAAAGGGATGTTACAGTTACATAAGTTAAAGAGTACATTTCTTTTTGGACAATGTCACACCTTGCTTCCCTCCTAGTTTTTCCCTCCTATTTCTACCCACAAGTTTTTTTTTTTTTGTTTAGGGTTTTTTTGGTCAATCATGGAGCTTGAACTCTGGGCCTGGGTGCTGTCCCTCAGCTCTTCACCTCAAGGCAGGTGCTCTACCACTTGAGCCACAGCGCCACTTCTGGTTTTCTGGTGGTTTATTGGAGATAAGAGTCTCATGGACTTGCCTGCCTGGGCTGGTCTTGAACCAAGATCCTCAGATCTCAGCCTCCTGAGTAGCTAGGATTACAGGTATGAACAACCGGCGCCCAGCTTTGGGTTTGTTTGTTTTTAACTGTATTTTTTTTGTCTTTTCTTTTTTGGTACTGGGGATCGAACCCAGGACGTTGCACTTGCTAGGCAAGCGCTTTGCCACTGAGCTATATCCCAGCCCCGGCACCCAGCTTTGGAATAATATTTTTATGATTTAGTTTCCCAATTGGTTTCAGAACTAGTAATCATAAGAACGTGATCATTGGCAATCTTTTTTGTACTTGAATGTATTGAGATAAAACAGTGTAAGCAAAATACTATGCTATCTTAGGTCAGGTTAGGCTCTCCTCCTTTCTCCCAAACCTCCCCACAGATATCTCCCCTCTTGGAAGATTTTTTTTTTCCCGTATTTTATGGGGCTTGAATTTTTGGGCCTGGGTGCTGTCCCTCAGCTCTTCAGCTCAAGGCTAGAGCTCTACCACTTGAGCCACAGCGCCACTTCTGGCTTTTTCTGCTTTTGTGGTGCTGAAGAATCAAACCCAGTGCCTCATACATGCAAGGCAAGTGCTCTACCAGATCCACCTTCCCAGCCCCAACATACGCCTTTTTGAAAGGACCAGATACCATTCCTGAGAAACTGGTGATAAAACTGATTTTTACAGCATCCTCATCCCTAAAATTACAGACCTTTGGCTCTTTTTTTTTTTTTTATTGTGAAAATACTGTACAGAGGGGTTACAATTACATGGGCAAGATAATGAGTACATTTCTTTTTTTTTTTTTTTTTTTGGGTCCGGTCATGGGGCCTGAACTCTGGGCCTGGGCACTGTCCCTCAGCTCTTCAGCTCAAGGCTAGTGCTCTACCACTTGAGCCACAGCGCTTTCTGCTTTTGTGGTGCTGAAGAATCAAACCCAGTGCCTCATACATGCAAGGCAAGTGCTCTACCAGATCCACCTTCCCAGCCCAACATACGCCTTTTTGAAAGGACCAGATACCATTCCTGAGAAACTGGTGATAAAACTGATTTTTACAGCATCCTCATCCCTAAAATTACAGACCTTTGGCTCTTTTTTTTTTTTTTTATTGTGAAAATACTGTACAGAGGGGTTACAATTACATGGGCAAGATAATGAGTACATTTTTTTTTTTTTTTTTTTTTTTTGGGTCCGGTCATGGGGCCTGAACTCTGGGCCTGGGCGCTGTCCCTCAGCTCTTCAGCTCAAGGCTAGCGCTCTACCACTTGAGCCATGATGCCACTTCCGGCTTTTTCTGTTTATGTGGTACTGAGAGTTAAACTCAGGGCTTCGGGCATACGAGACAAGCACTCTACCACTAAGCCATAGTCCCAACCCTGGCTCTTTTTTTGGAGAGAAGAAAAAGCAGCTTAGGAATTCTTGAAGACCTTTTAGTATTTGCAACTTTTTATATTTTGGTTTTGAGGATCAGGCTTAAGGTCTTGGATATGCTACACACATGCTGTATTACTGAGCTAACTTAAAACCGTGTTTAAAAAGTTTCGAAGAGCTAGGTACCAGTGGCTCATGCCTATAATACTAGCTACTCAGGAGGCTGAGATCTGAGGTTTGAGATTCAAAGCTAGTCTGGGCAGGAAAGTCATGAGACTCATCTATTAACCAACAAAAAGCCAGAAGTGAAGCTGTAGCTCAAGTGATAGAGCATTGGCCTTGAAAAAGAAAGAAACTGCTCAGGGACAGTACCTAGGCTCTTAAGTTCAAGCCCCAGGACCACACACACAAAAAAGAAAAACTTGCGAATATTCTTTCCAGGAGCAGCCTTGTGTGCTAGTGGTTAGGATTGTTGTCTTCTTTTACCATCTCTCACTCAATGGAAGAGCAGGAAGAAACTGAAGTTATGTTTCTGTTTCAGAGACAGCAGAGCGATTCCACCATGTCACTGTGCTGCAGATACACTTCTGTGACTGGCAGTGGGCCTGGCAATGGAGGCAGAGCTTGTCCGCCCACCAGGCCCTGGTGGAGGAGCTGGCCAGGAAGATGGCACTGCGGAGGGTCTTCACACATTGGAAACACTGTATCCTTCTCAGTCTCCCAGGCCTGTGTACCCCTCAATCAGGATAGCATGGAGCTGAGCTGCATGGCAGTGTCAGGAAGACGCCATTAGCAAACTATCTAACGCAGCCTTATCTCTGCTGACCTCTTTGAGTTATTTTGTTGTTGTTTTAACTTGAACTGTGCATTGAAAAGAATACACACAACTTATACTCTAAAGAGTAACTTAGCCAGGCGCTGGTGGCTCACGCTTGTAATCCTAGCTACTTAGGAGGCTGAGATCTGAGGATCGCGGTTCAAAGCCAGCCCAGGCAGGAAAGTCCTTGAGACTCTTATCTCCAATAAACCACTAGAAAACCAGAAGTGGTACTGTGGCTCAAGTGGTAGAGCACTTGCCTTGAGCTGAAGAGCACAGGGACAGTGTCCAAGCCTAGAGTTCAAGCCCCAAGACCGACAAAAAAAAAAAAAGAGTAACTTACCCCCAACTTAAAAAAAAATAGAGCTAGAAGCCAAGAGCTGGGGGCTGATGCCACTAGCTACTCAGGAGTATGACTGCTGAGGCTTGTTGTTTGAAACCGCCTGGGCAGGAAAGTCCATGAGACTCTTTTTTTTTTTTTTTTTTGGGGTCCGGTCGTGAGGCCTGAACTCTGGGCCTGGGTGCTGTCCCTCAGCTCTTCAGCTCAAGGATAGCGCACTACCACTTGAGCCACAGCGCCTCTTCCGGCTTTTTATCTTATGTGGTGCTAGGGAATCGAACCCAGGGCCTCATGCATGCAAGGCAAGTGCTCTACCACTGAGCTACCTTCCCAGCCCGTCCATGAGACTCTTATCTCCAATAAACTACTCGGAAAAAGCCAGAAGTGGTGCTGTGGTTTAAGTGGTAGAGTACTAGCCTTGAGCATAAAGGAGCTTAGGGATAGAGCCCAGGCCTTGAATTCGAGTCCCAGGACTGGCAAAAAGAAAAAAAAAAAAAAGAGCCTAATACCTCTGCTGCTCCCTCCTGATTAAATCTTTTTTCTGCCTCCTCCAGAGAGGACTTTATTATTCCATCTCTTTTTTCTGTTGCCATTTCCTGGTTTTTCTCTGAGCACTCAGGGAGTGGAAATAGTCCTGGCCATCTGCTTCTCAGTGGTCATGGCTCTTGTTTATTGAACTTGGTACCATCTGTGGTCATTATGCACAATTTGTAACAGTGCTGTGGAATAGGTGTCCCTGTCTTCATTCGTAGGTGAGAAACAGATGGGTGTTTTGTAAGAGATTTTCTAAGTATTTGGGAACATAGGCCTTTACTCCTGTGTAAATGTTCTTAATTATTACACCCCTCCACGCAGTGTATATCTATGGTGAAGATTTAGATGGCTTGATGTTCCTCCATACATTCTTTTGTTCATCACCCTCAAATCACATTAAATGCCCTTGCTTCTGTTCTGTAGATGGAGCAACTCAGATACTCAGAGTATTCATTATCCTCCCCCCTTCCCCCTGCCCCCTCTCCCCCTGCAACATGGTTGTGGGTCTTAAACTCTGGGCCTGGGCGCTGTCCCTCAGCTCTTTAGCTCAAGGCTAGCGCTCTACCACTTGAGCCACAGCGCCACTTCCGTTTTTTTTTTCTTTTTGCTTATGTGGTGCTGAGGAATCAAACCCAGGGCCTCAAGCATGCAAGGCAAGCGCTCTACCACTGAGCCACCTTCCCAGCCCCGAGATTTTTATCTTCAATTAACTACCAAAAAGCCGTAACTAGAGTTGTGGCTCAAGCAGTAGAGCACTATCCTGGAGCACAAAATCTCAGAGAAAGTGCTCAGGCTTTAAGTTCAAGCCCCAGAACTGACACCAAAGGGAAAATAAAAGTTTGTATCTAAAAAAGGCATCATGGCACACACTTAGAATCCTGGCACTCAGGAGGCTGAGGCAGAAGGATGGAGAGTTTAATGTCAGTGTAGGCCTGTAGTAGGAGATTTTTATCAAGTTGTGTGGGGATTCAGGCATGGAGGGAATGTTTGAACTAAACGTAGATGTTAGGGAAGACAAGTTCTCCAGGCACAGAAACTAGGAAGGACATTTCAGGTGGAAGGGATGCCATCTGCCCAGGTTTACAAGTTAGGAGAAGCATTCAGCTAGGGAGTTGTAGGGTGTCGCTGGTAGGAGAGCCAATGCAGACTAGGAGTCTGCCTCTTTTTCTGATGCTTAGCACTGGGGAGCTTCTGAAGGGTTCCAGAGAAGTCATGCATAAGCATAGATTTGTGCTTTAGGTAGTTCTGGATTAGAGGGTGGAGGCTGTCCCAGGGTCACCAGCTGTGTGAGAGCATGCTTACATTCTGCGTGAGGGACAATTCAGATGAGCTGCAGGGACAGAACAATGCTGGAGATGGAGAGAGGAGAGCAGATGGGCTTGGCAGCTGACAACATGGGGGAGGTGGGAGGAAAAAGCATTTGAAAATAATTCCAAGGTTTTTCACTCCAATGTCTGACTAGATTGTGATACCAAAACCGAGAGTACAGAGAAGGAGCAAGTCTCTGAGATGTGGTGATTTGGAAGTGCTTACTAAAACTGGTACTTGGGTACTTTTTGCCTTCCATCACATGGGCATCCAAGGAGAGGGAAGGCCAGGCCAGCTATTTGATAAGGAACTCACATGGTTCCCGGTTGGTTTCCTGGGAGTTACCAAGGGACAGAGGTAGACATCATCCTTGTTCCCCTTACAGCCGTGGTACTTCAGGTGGATCAGAGGAAGCAGGTGCACTGTGTAGGGTTGGAAGCCTTGTTGACAATGGAGGCCTTAGCTCCTGGCAGATATGCTGCTGTGTGCCGAAGAAGCTGCCCAGCGGAAGGTGGCAGAAGAGCACCACCAACACAGGCTGCTGGTAAGCGTGCCAAATCTAGGACCCCACCCCATGGCCTTGGAGTCATCCATGTGGGACCCTCACTCTTTCATACTGATTGAGTGAAGGTTCCCAGGTCTAAGTGAGCTGCAGTCTTTTTTTTTTTTTTAAACAAAACAAAACATGTTTGCTGTTAGGCTTGGGGCCTGGGTACTGTCTCTGAGCTTTTTTGCTCAAGGCTAGTGCTCTATCACTTTAGCCACAGCCGCCTGGGTAGCTAGGATTACAGGTGTGAGCCACCAGTCCCTGGCTTGAACTGCAGTTTTTTTTTTGGGGGGGTCTGGTCGTGGGGCCTGAACTCTGGGCCTGGGCGCTGTCCCTCAGCTCTTCAGCTCAAGGCTACCACTTGAGCCACAGCGCCACTTCGGGCTTTTTTCTTTTTGGTTATGTGGTGCTAAGGAGTCAAACCCAGGGCCTCAGGCATGCAAGGCAAGCGCTCTACCACTGAGCCCCCTTCCCAGCCCCTGTTTTTTGTTTTTTTTTGGTTGATTGTGGCGATTAAACTCTGGGCCTGGTGCTGACCCTCAGCTCTTCAGCTCAAGGCTGATGCTCTACCACTTGAGCCACAGAGCCACTTCCAGTTTTCTGGTGGTTAGTTGGAGATAAGAGTCTCTTGGACTTTCCTGCTCGGGCTGGCTTTGAACCGCAGTCCTCAGATCTCAGCCTCTTGCATAGTCAAGATTACAGGCATGAGCCACTGGTGCCTGGCTGAGCTGTAGTCTTTGTTGTTGTTGTTGTTTTTTAACTTGAAGACATTTTGGATCTTTATTTTTATTTATTTATTTAGTGAGTTGTGGGGCTTGAACCCTGGGCCTGAGCGCTGTCCCTCAGCTCTTCAGCTCAAGGTGAGCGCTTGACCACTTGAGCTTCAGAGCCACTTTCTGAGCTGTAGTCTTGAAGCACTCTTTTCATTATTGGTGTTCCTATTTGCATTTTGGAGAGAAGGCAATGGTGTAGGATCAGAGATAGATATTTGAAGCTGTGAAGGAATCTTAAGTGTTGTAATCTTTTTACATAGTGGATCACATTAGAATGGCAGAAGCCTCATCTGTAACAAAGATCAAAGTCACAATGCTGAGCTTGAGGCAAGATCTGGACAGTCAGTTTCTGTTCAACTAGCCGCTGCCTCCTACCCTGACTATCTGAGCTAGTCATCAAAGACTTATAAGAGCCTCAAGCTCCGTAATATGAAAACTCCTTAAGGCTATCTAATCTTAACTCCTGTGGCAGAAACTACAACCCAAGGTTCAGGGCCATGAGGGACAAATGGGCTTTGTCTAGGTTCAATGTGAAACATTGTTGTTGGAGCTCAGCCAGGCCTGAGTGTCCTGCTCCTGTCCCAAGACCCGCTACTCCCCAAGGTTTCCTTCTAGGCTACTCTAGCAAAGGAATATTTATAGCAAACATGAGTCCCTGAGTTCTTACCACAGTACAGACCAAGCCATCTGCATTTGTAATTATATACATGTATATACTGCCCCTTGTATGGTTTAAAAAAATACTATAAACAAAAAGGTGCATATGTGTGTTTTTCTGGGGCTTGAACCCAGCAGATCTGGTGCGTGGTAGGCAAGCAGTCTGCCACTGAGTCCTAGTGCTCACCCTCCCCCATCCTTGACTCTCTCCTAGGTAAAAGTTGACTTTTGACCTTGGTAGAATTCTTTCTTGTGTGGATGATGGGGATCAGAGGTGGCGTGTTCATGGCACGGTATGTGGACACTAGGGAGTGGTGCAGCCAATCTTATTGAGTGCCTGCTGCATAGGCTGGCTTGTATTAGTTCCCAACTTGATTTCAAAGCAAAGCAATTGAAGGGAGTGGAGTGCTCCCTGAACATTCTGACCCTTGAGTGGAGGCACCGCTTTTCCTTTGTCCACACTTTTTTTTTTTTTTTGGCTGTGCTGGGGTTTGAATTGAAGGCCTTGAGCTTTCTAGACAAGTGTTCTTCCATTTGAGCCACATGCCCTGAGCAAGTCCACACTTATTTCTATAGATTCTGATTCTTTATAATTGCTGTAATTTCTTCTTTATGTAGTATTTTTGCTTCAGAGCTCTAAGAGACAATGTGACCCGAATCCATCTCCAACGAATAAGGAAGAATCTTGCTCACCAACAGCACGATGTCATGGTAAGGGTTATCTTCTGTATTAAGGGACCCATGCTGATGGCCATTCTCTTGTGACCTCTGTGCTCAGAGATTAGTTTACACTTTAGACTCCAAAATCTTTTTTTTTTTTGGTCAGTCATGCAGCTTGAACTCAGGCCTGAGTGCTGTCCCTGAGCTCTTTTTTACTCAAGACTAATAATGCTCTGCCACTTTTAGCCACAATGCCACTTTTGGATTTCTGGTACACAATTAGAGATAAGAGTCTTATGGACTTTCCTGCTTGGGTTGGCTTTGAACCATGATCCTCAGATCTCAGTCTCCTGAGTAGCTAGGATTACAGGTATGAGCCACCAGCACCCAGCTAGACTCTAAAATCTGAATGCTTATTTTCTTTAGTAATCCAAACCTTCTAATAAAGAAACTGTTGCTTCAGAGCACTGGTTAATCCTTTTTTTTTCCATCGGTTTTATTTTACTTTGTTTTTTAGATAGTGTCTCTCACTTTTTCCCAAGCTAATCTCAGATCACAATCCTGTTTTTACCCTCCAAGTAGCTGAGATTACAGGCATGTGCCACCATACCTAGCCTCTGCTTCAGTTCCCCAACCCACCTCTAGTCATTTCAAAGTAAATTATAAACATCATTACATAGTGTACTGAAACATTTCCACATACATCACTCCAAGTAAGAAGTTTCTTAACTATAATATCTTTATCATCTCTTTAACGAAATTAATAATAATGACCTAATATTATCATATACCCAGTCTATATTTAGATTTTCACAATTGTTCCCAAAATATCTTTCTAGCTGCTGTGCGTGTGCGTGTGCGTGTGTGCGCGCGCGCATGCGCACGCACGCGCGCAGATTTAATTCAGGATCCAAGTGCTGTCCCTGAGTCGTCCCCGCTTCAAGGCTTGAGCCACAGCTCTACTTCCAGCCTTTTCTGTTTATGTGGTACTGAGGAATTGAACCTAGGGCTTCTACCACCAAGCCATATTCCCAGCCCTCATTTTTTTTTTTTAATTTGGTATGGGCTTCCTGCTCTCACCTTTTTGCTCAAGGCTGGTTCTCTACCACTTGAGCCATACCTCCAGTTTCAGCTTTTTGCTGGTAAATTGGTTAAGTGGAGGTAAGAGTCACGAAGCACTTTCCTGCCCTGGCTGACTTGGTTTTTTTTTTTTTGGGTCCGGTTGTGGGCCTGAACTCTGGGCCTGGGCGCTGTCCCTGAGCTCTTCAGCTCAAGGCTAGTGCTCTACCACTTGAGCCACAGCGCCACTTCTGGCTTTTTTTTTTTTTTTAATATAAATATAAAACCGGTTTCTCTATGGGGCCTAGACTAGCTTCAGACTTGTAATACTGCCTCAGCCCTCTGAGGCCTGAGATCTCAGGGGTATGCCACTATACCTGGCTGTCTCCTAAAGCTCTTAAATTAGAACAGCCTCCTTCCCATACCACACATCTTTGTGTGTGTGTGTGTGTGTGTGTGTGTGTGTGTGTGTGTGTGTGTCCGTCCGTCCGTCCGTCCCAGTTCTGGAGCTTGAACTCAGCTTGGGCACTGTCCTTGAGCTTGTTTGGCTCAAGTCTAGTGCTCTACTACTTGAACCACAATGCTACTTCTAGCTTTTTCTGCGTAGTTTATTGGAGATAAGAGTCTCATGGACTTTCCTGCCCAGGCTGTTTTCAAACTGTGATCCTTAGATCTCAGCCTCCTGAGTAGCTAGGATTATAGGTGGGGGCACCAGTGCGTGGCAACTACGTCTTTTTGTGCGTGTTGATTTACTTCTAAATACATTTTTAACTGTGGGCAAAGTACATATAAAGGTTATCATTTTAACCATTGTGAAGTAGCATTACACAAATCCATGTTGTTCATTATTACCACTCACTGTGTCTAGAACTTTTGCATCTTGCAAACTGCAGCTGTATCTATTAAAAACTAACTCCGCATTGATCTTCCCCCAGCCATGACAACCATCAGTCTACTGTCTGTCTGTCTTTATGAATGTGGCTCCTCTAGAGACCTCATAAATTAAATTTACAGTATTTATCCTTTTGTGATTAGCTTATTTAGCATAATGTATAGTTTTTCTTTAAAATGATATCACCAGCTTTTTTATTTTTTGAAGAACATGCTTATTATTTTGTACAGTATTCTTTATTCTCAGTTTGTCTTATTGCTTCTTTTGTTCTTTTGATTTTTCTTTAGCCCCCTGTAAAATAGAAGTTGAAGGGCTTGATTAGAGATTGAAATGAAATATATTGGCAAAACTATTTCACAGTTTGGAATAGGTGTTAAGGTTAGTTTTACTTTCTAAAACATCATTGTCTTCCATGAAGCCCAGGTTAGGGTTAGCTTTTTATCCCAGAAACTAGAAGAACTTTCTCTTTGCCTTTGACCCTGGGCCAGACAATACCTCCTCTCTAGGTAGCCATGATTATTTTGGGTGTTGGATGTTCTACACTGAGATAATATCTGCTTTGTGGGACAGGGGTACGGGGGGAGTGCTCACAGTCTGGGAGTCAACAGTTAATCAGCAGGTTATGAGCAAAAGCAATTATTTCATATTTTACCTAATACACTTCCATTTTATCCCTGTCTGACTTTAGCTGCTGCGCAGGTTCTGGAACCTCTGGCAGTCTCAGATTGAGCAGAGGAAGGAGCGAGATCAGCTCCCTTTATCGCATGCAGCCCGAGGCCACTACAGGTAAGACTGGGCTCTGCCTCTCCAGAGACACTGTGTGATTCTGACTTTGGGTCTTCTAGCAGTGATCAGTTACCCAGGCATGAGGGAGTGGCAGACTCAAAAAGGAACTGGGAGCCATGGCTCACGTGGTAAAGCTCCTGCCTTGGCAAGCATGAGGGTTTGAATTGAAACTGCACTACCCCTAAAACAAAAAGAAAATCCAGACAGGTAGAATATAGGGACTTTTATACATATTTTCTAAATTCTAGAGGTAGTATACTTGCTGCTCTAATGAAGCCTATAAGGAAATTATCAAGGACTGGGGATATAGCTCAGTGGGATATCACTTTCTTAGTATGTGTGAGGCCCTGTGTTTGAATTCCAGTATTAAAAATAAACGAAAATAAAACCAGAGTTATCAAAATTTTAAAGCAAGCATGAGTCAAAAGCATGTTAGAGGGCTGGGAATGTAGCTCAGTGGTAGAATGCTTGCCTTGCATACATTAGACCCTGGGTTCGATTTTACAGCACCACATAAGCAGAAAAAGCCAGAAGTAGTGCTGTGGCTCAAATGATAGAGCACTAGCCTGGAGCTGAAGAGCTGAGGGACAGCACCCAGGCCCAGAGTTTAGACCCCACGACTGACAAAAAACAAAACCAAGGGCTGGGAAGGTGGCTCAGTGGTAGAGCGCTTGCCTTGCATGCCTGAGGCCCTGGGTTCGATTCCCCAGCACCACATAAGCAAAAAGACAAAAGCCGGAAGGGGTGCTATGGCTCAAGTGGTAGAGTGCTAGCCTTGAGCTGAAGAGCTGAGGGGCAGCGCCCAGGCCTAGAGTTCAGGCCCCATGACCGGACCCAAAAAAAAAAGCCAAAAAAATGTTAGGTATTTGTTTTCTTTGTTCTTAGAATGAAACTAATAAGCCCATGGGTGCCTCTAACTCTCAAGAGGTAACCATGTCTAAATTTTCCTGCCTTAGAAACAAAACAAAAATTTCGGGTGCCGGTGGCTCACACCTGTGATCCTAGCTACTCAGGAGGCTGAGATATGAGGATCTCAGTTCAAAGCCTGGGCAGGAAAGATCCTGAGAGTCTTGTCTCCAATTAACCGACAGAAAACTGGAAGTGGCACTGTGGCTCAAGTGGTAGAGGGCTCGCCTTGAGCTGAAGAGCTCAGGGACAACACCCAGGCCCAGAGTTCAAGCCCCACAATAGACAAAAAAAAAACAAAAACAGAATTTTTAAAACCAGAAACCTGAAGGTGCTGATAAGCAGTACCTAGCTGTTCTGTGTTTTATTCCAGGGTGACATTGCTGCGCAAGTGTATCCAATTGTGGCTCCGGTATGTTCAGAAGAGAAGATACAAACGGGTAAGGAGTGTGTCACAGCAGACAGCATCTAGCCTTACACTTACACTCAGCCTGATGGCTTTGCAAAGATTTCTTAGGACTCTGCCATGAGATCTTATTGTTCTGATTTGGAGGAGAGGGTGCTATGAAAGGCTCTGAGATAATTTCCTTCAGTCCCTGCTAGTCAGAACATCTGCTCAACTCCATCTCTTTATCTGCTAGGAAAATGCAGAGAGCCAGCTCCTGCCAGCCATGCGCGTCTTCATTCACACTAGTTTATGATATGAACTCACCAGCCCCTCACTCAGTGGGATCTCCAGATGTGGAGAGGTGAAGAGTATGAGTGTTGTATCCCAGAGCTGCCTAATATGAAACAGATGCTCCAGTAGGTGGAGGAGGTGGGGTCAGGATGGCAAGTGAGTAAAGATAGCTTGATGAATACGTACTGAGCTGGGCACCTGTGGCTCATGCGTATAACCCTAACTGGTTTGAATCCAGGTTGGGCAAGAAAAGTCTGTGAGACATATCTCCAATTGATCACCAAAAAGCTGGGAGTAGAACTGTGCCTCACGAGGCCCAATGCCAGCCTTGAGGAGTAAAGCTATGGACAGAACTTAGGCCCTAAAGGGCTGGGAAGGTGGCTCAGTGGTAGAGTCCTTGCCTTGCATGCATGAGGCCCTGGGTTCTATTCCTCAGCACCACATAAGCAAAAAGAAAAAAGCCGGAGGTGGCGCTGTGGCTCAAGTGGTAGAGTGCTAGCCTTGAGCTGAAGAGCTGAGGGACAGCGCCCAGGCCCAGAGTTCAGGCCCCACGACTGGACCCCCCCCCCAAAAAAAAAAAAAAGAACTTAGGCCCTGAGTTCAAACCCTAGAACCAGTGCACACACCCAAAAAGACTTACTGCACAACCTTTGCACACAACTACTATGCCTAAGCACTGAGGTTGCAAGTATGATACAAAGTAAAGAGAATCCCTGCCCTCATAGCCTTACAAGTCAGCACCAAGGTGGCAGATAAGTGATCTTGCAGGCTGGTTCTAATGGTTGGAGTAGCTGTCTGAAGGATTTCAAAGCCACATTCAGACTCAGAGGGAGTTTGTTCAGTTCATAATGTCAACATGGGAAGGGCCACTCTGGCTATCCCTGGCAGTCAGAGAAGACATCAGCCAAACTCCCCTGGTTATATTAGTGCTGCTCTTGCTACCTCCATCTGCATCCATCTGCTGCCAGAATCTGACATGTGAACCTGAAGTTTTGTTTTTCTCCTCAGTTGTGGGGTAGATTGCTGTGTGTGTGTGTGTGTGTGTGTGTGTATGTGTGTGTGTGTGTGTGTGTGTGTGTGTTCATGCCAATTCTGGGGCTTGAACTCAGGGGCTTTGGTGCTGTCCCTGAGCTTTTTTGCTCAAGGCTGGTACTCTGCTACTTGAGCCACATCTCCACTTCTGGCTTTTTGGTGGTTAATTGGAGAGAAGCATTAATGGACTTTTCTACTCAGGCTAGCTTTTTTTCTTTTTTGCCAGTCCTGGGCTTAAACTCAGGACCTGAGTACCATCCCTGAGCTTCTTTTTGCCCAAGGCTAGCATTCTACCACTTGAGCCAGCTTTTTCTGTTTATGTGGTGCTGAGGAATTGAACCCAGGGCTTTGTGCATGCTAGGCAAGCACTTCACCACTAAGCGACATTCCTAGCCCCTCAGGCTAACTTTGAACCTTAGTCCTCCAATCTCAGCCTCATGAGTAGCTGGGATTACAGGAATGAGCTACCAACACCCTCCATAGAACACAAATTTTTAGCAAGGCACAAAGACTCCTCCACGAGCTAGTCTTTCTGTACCCCTCCTTCCTGCTACTACTCTTCCCTTCTCATCTGCATTCTGGCTAGGTGGGTGCCAGTCATTCCTGAACATTCTGTGTGTGTTCTGCCCATTACTGTACCTGCAGTTCTCTTTGGCTCACCACCCTGCTGACTTGAGTGCTCCTTCCTCCTCCTCCACCCCAGCCACTTCGCTGGTGTAGTTTATCAGTGCATCATTGTGTAGTTGCCTGCTGGCCTCTTTCCCCCCAGCCTGTGAGCTCCTTCAGGGTACAGCCTGTCTCTTCTCCTTTACCCAAGCTCTGTTTGGCAAAGGCATTGCTGACTCATTTGGATGCATGAACACACAAATGAGTGAGTGCACTGCGATTCACCATATCTGAATGTTCCCAAGAGTCGTCTGGTCTGCGAGGTTGTTTAGATGGCACTCTCCCAAGGTGTGGCTGGTTTTGTGTCAACCTTAGGGATATCCTTTTATGTCCCTTTGATTGTTTTTTTTTTTCTTGCTGGTCGTGGGGCCTGAACTCTGGGCCTGGGCGCTGTCTCTCAGCTCTTCAGCTCAAGGCTAGCGCTCTACCACTTGAGCCATACCGCCACTTTCAGCTTTTCTGCTTATGTGGTGCTGGGGAATCGAACCCAGGGCTTCATGCATGTGAGGCAAGCGCTGTACTACTGAGCTACCTTCCCAGCCCCTTTGATTGTTTCTGAAAGGACTCTTTTAAGTTCATTTATCTTGGCAAAACAGGTCTGAGGAATAGTGAATGCAGTGATGTTAAATGGTTGTTTTTATTTTATGTATGTATGTATGTATGTATTTACCAGTCCTTGGACTTGGACTCAGCCTGGGCACTGTCTCAGAGCTTCTTTTGCTTGAGGTTAGCACTCTACCACTTGAGAGCCACAGTGCCACTTCCGGCTTTTTCTGTTTATGTGGTACTGAGAAATTGAACCCAAGGCTTCATGCATGCTAGGCAAGCACTCTACCACTGAGCCACATTCCCAGCCCAAGATGGTTGCTTTTTAAAGACCTTTCACTAACTACCTGAAGATTACCTATAAGTGAAGATGACCCAGGAGTACAACAGTTCAAAATATTACTTACTATGGGTTTCTGAGGGCTGGGATATAGCTCAGTGGTAGAATTCATGAGCTTGCATCTTAAGGTGACATTTGTTGAGTAAATCTGGCATATTCTTTTCTCTGAGGGGTGAGAGTATATATACCCACATATTCATATACGTGTCATATCCACACTGTTCCAATGGTCCATTGATATGTAAAAACCACACCAGTTCTTCAGGTGGCTCATACCTGTAATCTTGCCTAGCTATTTAGGAGAACTGCAGTTTGAGGCCAGCCCTGGGTCTACAGAAAAATTCTTTTCTTTTCTTTTTTTTTTTTTGGTTGGTCGTGGGGCTTGAACTCTGAACATGGGTGCTGTTCCTCAGCTCTTCAGCTCAAGGTGACCACTCTATCACTTGAGCCACAGCGCCACTTCTGGTTTTCTGGTGGTTTATTGGAGATAAGAATCTTGCAGACTTTCCTGCCTGGGCAGGGTTTGAACCATGATCCTCAGATCTGAGCCTCCTGCATAGCTAGGATTACAGGTGTGAGCCACTGGTGCCCAGCCAGAAAGGTTCTTTTTTTCTTTTTCTTTTCTTTTTTTTACAACATATATGAGACCAAGCATCCCTGGCTGCTACAGAGGTATAGCAGACAGGTATAGTTAAGAAACAATCTTAAAGCCGGGTGCCGGTGGTTCACACCTGTAATCCTAGCTACTCAGGAGGCTGAGATCTGAGGATCAAGGTTCAAAGCCAGCCCTGGCAGGAAAGTTCGTGAGATTTTTTTTTTTCTTTTTTGGTCAATCGTGGGGCTTTAACTCTGGGCCTGGGCGCTGTCCCTCAGCTCTTCAGCTCAAGGCGAGCACTCTACCACTTGAGCTACAGTGCCACTTCCGGTTTTCTGGTGGTTTATTGGAGATAGGAGTCTCACGGTCTTTCCTGTCCGGGCTGGCTTTGAACCGCGATGCTCAGATCTCAGCCTCCTGAGTAGCTAGGATTACAGGCGTGAATCACCAGCGCCCAGCTCATAAGATTCTTATCTCCAGTAAACCACTAGAAAACCGGAAGTGGTGCTGTGGCTCAAGTGGTAGAGCGCTCGCCTTGAGCTGAAGAGCGCAGGGACAAGCACCCATGTTCAGAGTTCAAGCCCCACGACCAACAAAAAAAAAAACCAAAGCCGGGCGCTGGTGGCTCACTCCTGTAATCCTAGCTACTCAGGAGGCTGAGATCTGAGGATCACGGTTCAAAGCCAGCCCAGGCAGGAGAGACCGTGAGACTCCTATCTCCAATAAACCACCAGAAAACCGGAAGTGGTGCTGTAGCTCAAGTGGTAGAGTGCTCGCCTTGAGCTGAAGAGCTGAGGGACAGCGCCCAGGCCCAGAGTTCAAGTCCCACGACCGACAAAAAAAAAAAAAAATAACCAATAAAAAATAGATGCTCATATGTATATACTATACATATAGATATAGTTGTTATCTAACTGGATCTGTAATATTTATCTAAATACATAGGAAAATGTGCTAAGACCATATGTAAATGAAGTAATTTTTATCTACCATGTTTCATTTTTCATCTAGCACGTTGGCCAAAACCAAATACAGTATTTTCAGAGTTTCTCCTGCACTTTTCACGTGTAGGAAGCAGTCTTCCCTTGAGACGAGGGCTTTTGCAAGGCAGCAGTGCTTCGTGCCTGTAATCCTAGCTGCTGAGGAGGCTGAGGTCTGAGGATCATGGTTTGAAGCCAAGCCTAGGCATGCTCAAATGGTAGAGGGCTAGGCTTGAGGGAAAAAGACAAGAAAGCATGAAGTCCTAATTTCAAGCCCTAGTACTGATGTGCGCGTGTGCACACGCACTCGTACACACACACACGTACAGACTCTGAAAGTTCATTTGAAAGAAAAACAAAGCACAAAAGGCTATTTATTATTTTACTTCAGCTCCTGAAGGCCAGAGCAGACCGTCATTTCCAGCAGAGAGCCATGCCCACTGCATTCCACACTTGGAACAGACTTTGGCGACGGCACCAGCAGGATTATATCCTCAATGCAAGAGCTGTCCGTTTCCACAGGTGAGCTGGGCGGCTCCCATCTCCACAAGACCACACATCTCCAATCTAACTCTGCCAGGCATACAACCTGGTGACTTTGCTTCTCCCTCCCCCGGTCCCTGACGCTGTTTCTTCCTGGGTTCTCAATAATGTGGGCTTATTGATTTCATCTAATGGGAAAGGACAGCCGGTACTCCTGAGAAAAGTGTTGTCCATCCTTACTGTAAGTATTTTCAAAATAGCCTGTGAGCCATGCCCCTGTCCTCATTTCATGCTGCTGAGAGCTCCATAAGGCCATCCATTAGCATTCTGGAGGAGAGCCGGGGCTGGGGGACTATGCATCACACTGGCAGACATTCTTGAGTGTGATTTCCCAGAAACAATTTCTGTGCTACAAGACCTGGTTTTTTTTTTTTTTTTAAGACTGGATTTTTATAGTGTTGCAACTATAGTCATCAACAAAATTAAAAAGGTCTTGCTCAGCGCAGGTCCCCACTACATGTCAGTGGAACGCAGTGAAGAAATTTTGAACCCATAACTGTGATCAGCCCTTGTGGTGGCATTATATGGTAGAAGAAAGTGAGCATACATAAAAGCTCCTTTCACCTAATCTTCACTAATAGTCTCCTCCTCTCAGCAGTCCTGAGAACAGGTGTAAAATGATAAGTGGCCTACCCATGCTAACTCAGTCGAGTACGTGGCAGAACCAGATTTGACACTCAGTTCTCCATTCCAAAGTCCACGTGCTTTCTACTTGATGATGATGGGGACTATTTTTCCAATGACTCTCTAGGAGTTTTACATTCTGATAAGAAGATACACTGTGTATAAGAAAGCCTTGACAGTGTTGACCAGGGTCCAGAATTGTCCGTGAGGCTGAATTGAGACACAGGTTGCGCTTTCATCACAGCAAACAATGAGAGCTGTAACGTTTTAAGCTCATGGGTCAAAATATACAGTGAGGGAGATGTGTTCCATCAGTATTAATAGTAATGAATAAAATCTGTAATTTTATTCATTACACGAGCTTTCTATAATTCATCTTTCTAGGATCCCAAAATAATTTGCTTGAAGAATGACATTTCAAAAACCTTAGCTGTGGGATTTTGAAGTTGTCATTACTATTTCTATAATAGTGATAAGAAAAGCTCTAATAAAAGGTTTGTGACAGGGCGATCGGTTCTGTTGTGTGTGTGCTTGCTGGCATTAGAGATTGAACTCTGGACCTGTGCTCTGCTATGTGAGTTCCAGCTTTTTGTTGGCCAATTGGACATAGCAATTGATCTTAGATCTCATCCTCCTGAGCAGTGGTGTGACTTGCATTGTATCTCTCAAAAAGGGCTATCTTAGATTTCAAGAGAAATATATATTTGGGGGGGGGGCCTGGTCGTGGGGCCTGAACTCTGGGCCTGGGCGCTGTCCCTCAGCTCTTCAGCTCAAGGCTAGTGCTCTACCACTACAGCCATAGCACCACTTCCGGCTTTTTTCTTTTTGCTTATGTGGTGCTGAGGAATTGAACCCTGGGCCTCAGGCATACAAGGCAAGCATTCTACCACTGAGCCACCTTCCCAGCCCATCAAGAGAAATCTTGATACTCACCTTGATGGGCACTGAAGGAATCACAATATGTGAAAATGATTAAATAAAAATTTATCGACTTCAGACAAAGAAAATACTGAAAATTCCAGACCTGGAGGCATGTCTTAGTGGTAGAGCACCTGCCTAGCAAGCAAGAGGCTCTGAGTTCAAATCCCAATACCCCACACAACTGATCCATGCCACAATTTCTTCTAATATCTCAGAGCCAGTGCTGAGTATGGCAGGGGAGCATGGCATTATGGGGTGGGGGGTTTCCTGTGAGCCAAAGGAGTAAGGCAGTCACTAGATAGATGGTCAGGGTGGAAAGTTGAGGACAGCAGACTGGGGATCCAGACTGATGCTATAGACAGAAAATGGGCCAGATGCTTGAACAGATGTGTGGAGCCAGTAAAGTGGCGGTTTTCAAGATTACATACAATGTATCAGTTGTGGATGATGGAGAGATGATAAGAGAGAGAAAGGGGTGTGATATTGAATCTGGAGATACTGCTTTGAGGGATCACCCAGAACTCCAGCACTCCTGAGCACAAAGTCCACAGAAATGTTTTTTGGGGGTGGTATTAAGAGAACATTTCTCCCTTCTCTGGAAGAAAGCAGCTTCCTCTTCCTGGTTCCTGTTCTTGTACAAGATCTTGTACAAGGTTCCTTGTACACGATCTAATCCAGAAATGACTTCAGTACTTAAGACATCCACATACTCTGTTATTTTCTCTACAAGCAAGAGGAACCTCCAAAAGGCTTTCTGCTGGGGAAGCAGGCTTGGGTGTTTAAAGGCTGCAAGGGCAAATTGTAGACAGGGAGCAGACAGGAGACCAGGCTTGAAGTATGATGAAATCTGACCTTGATTTTGGCCTGCCTTGGTGGGTTGGACTTTTTAGGTGACTTAGTTTTTCAGGTTCTCACCTTCCTGGTTCATGAGGGAGTACAGTGCGTCTATCTTGCAAGCTCAAAAAGAATTGTATTCAGACCTTTGTTCTGGCACTGGCCAGCTTTGTGACCCAGGGAAAACCAATCCCTCCGAGCCTCCATCTTCCCAAATGTAAGCAGATAATTTGATAATAGTCCTTGTCATAGGTCCTCATAGAAACTAAGTGATAAAGTCCAAATGCTTAGTGCAAAATATTAATAATCCCTCTAGTCTTCAGAATTGGTTTGATTTGTGATTCTCTTGGTAAGTAAATATTTATGGTTTAACACTTAGTAATGTTCCAAATATCTAGTCTTATACACTCTTTTTTTTTTCTGGTTGGTCATGGGGGCCTGAATTCTGGGCCTGGGCGCTGTCCCTCAGCTCTTCAGCTAAAGGCCAGCGCTCTACCACCACAACCACAGCGCCACTTCTGGCTTTTTTTCCCCCTGCTTATGTGGTACTGAGGAATCGAACCCAGGGCCTCATGCATGCCAGGCAAGCACTCTACCACTGAGCCACCTTCTCAGCCCTCTATACTCTTAAGATACATTTTTTTCTGTTTTTGCCAGGCACTGGTGGCTCACGCCTGTAATCTTCATACTCAGGAGGCTGAGATCTGAGGATTGGGTTCAAAGCCAGTCTGGGCAAGAAAGTCTGTGAGACTTGTCTCCAATAAACCACTCTGAAAACCAGAAGTGGTGCTGTGGCTCAAGTGGTAGAGCACTAGTCTTGAGCTGAAGAGCTCAGGGACAGTTCCCAGGCCCAGAGTTCAAACCCCACAACCGACAAAAAAAAAAAAAAATTGTTGTTTGGTCACTCGTGGGGCTTGACTCAGGGCCTGTGCACTGTCTTTGAGTTTTTTTTTGTTTTTTTATTTTTTTTTGGGTCTGGTCATGGGGCCTGAACTCTGGGCCTGGGCGCTGTCCCTCAGCTCTTCAGCTCAAGGCTAGCACTCTACCACTTGAGCCA